AAGTAAAAATGTAAAGCTGCAGAGAAGGACCGCCTTGGCCAGCTGATTACAACGCAAAATAGTTTCTCCCCTTCACGCTCTTCGGGGTGGAAGCGACAGGCGCCTTGGGTGTAGATGAAACACTATGCGACCTCTCAGGTCAACAGTGTGAATAAATTAAAAACAGATAGTCCAGCATGCGTTGTGGCATTAGCGATATTTGGTTCCCCAAATGAATTTCACGAGCGCTATGTCAACGCGTAGAGACGGTGTTGGCGCAATATCGTGTATCCATAGCGGGGAAAAGCTCTGGAGAAAACTAGGTTAATTGCGTCGCTAAGGTGGACTGATAGTGCACGGCCTTGCTCGAATGTAGCGCGAAGAAGGAAGTACTCATTGGTTTCATATTACGCTGACATATTTGCGTGTTTTTTTACATCTACATGTTTTCATTCATTACCCGAGATGCTGGTCAATTCTGTCCGCTTCCGAGTCTTTGAATAATCTGAGTCCAACTTTTCAGAGATATCAGTGGACTTAAAAACCTGGTTATATTGCGGACCGTGTCGTTTTCATACTACTTTTTGTAGGAAAAATCCTTTGTGAAAAAGCTCAAGCAACACAAAAGGGCCCGGATTTTTTGCTGAAGGTGTGAGAAAATCTACGAGGATAAATCCAAAGACCGATCAACCGGTCTGATTGTTCCTTTATCGAAAGTCGACGAACCAGGAGAGACATCTCGAGATCGACGTCATGCATGAGTTCCATACTATGCTATAGCAATATGAAGATCCACCGACTCCCATGGTCTTGGTTGTCTGGGGATGTTGTGAGGCTAACTCGGCATCTTCGAATATTGTGTCCTGCGCCACGCACCATCCACCAACAAAATAACGTTAAAGGATATTTGGCGCAAGTAGCTGAATATTACCAGCAAAGACAGAGAAGACTTAAACGACCATTTCTGGCTTATTAATTGCATCAGGTAGTTATACTTTACCTTAGATGATTTACCCAGACAGCGAGCTCATGGCTCATAAGCATTGGACCAATCAACAGGTCGCGGATTCGCGCCTTGGGCGGTGCGCCACCTGAGGTTGGGTTTAACTGGCAGATGACAGCTAATGGACCATAAGTGGCCATTCAAGTTTCCCTTGTCTTTACTGACAATATTCATCTGCCTACACTGCTAGTCGCTGCGTGGCTGCTGGTGGGGCTAAAGAACGATTCACGGGGCATAACGGGACGAGTGAGTTTCGTTAGTCATCAGCGAGTGTTAATCAGCGCCTATTTTATCTGTGATTCACGCACATTCTGACACAGGTGAGTAGCTTATAGCAAAGCGATGGTCTTTTTACAGGAGACCCATTCCTCGTTTTCAAGAGTTAACTGCTTGCCATTATCTCATAGCCGAATAAGATGCGTAGTGAGGCCCTAATTAAAACGACTGAGGGTTTATGCATCATTGCTATTCACCTCCCGCTTGAAATTGTCTTAATTTGAATAGAAAGCAAGTAGAGGGCTTGTCGAAGCTTGGTTAATTAATATTATAATAAAAGAGTTTACTGCTCCTAGCGAAACCTGGAAGTTGGTCGTCATTGCTTTGTGGGTTATCGTGGGTGGTATGCTTGTCCTTGCTGTTGTGCCTTCCAGTTCTTCGTATCCCTCAGAGGAGACTCGCACAAATTGTTGAAATAGTCCACATCGGTAATGAGCGTGAGGTCATTCTCAAAAACAAATGTTTTATGACGGCAAGTATAACGGAAGTGCAAGGAAACGTGTGTCCCTATGCTATAAATAATATCCTATATTTATGTGCGAGCAGGAATGCAAGTTCGTATTTAATGCATTTTCATTCATGGTATAATAATAGGAAAGTCGAACGGTTTCAAGTTCTGTTACTCATG